TTAAGAGTAGAGATGAGATGTTGCTCGACCCTACACCAACCGAAGCGCTAACATCTCACTCATTTTCGACCACTGAAGAAAGTGATTATGAATGTGGTGTGGAGGACATTGACGTCACACTCGGAGTAGAGTGGATCTCAAGGGTTGACATGGCGAGGCAGGCCGTGAAGAACTTAGGAAAGCGCTTGAGTGAGGTCGATGGAAAGTTCAAGACACTTGAGGACTTCACCCTTGAGGAGAATGACAACATCCGCAAGGAGCTAGAGGGCCGCCAGCGTGCTGAGTTTGAGATGAAAGAGGCCATCACATCCTTGGAGTGTCAGCTCATGGATGCACTAAACACAATTGAAATCATGAGGGCTGAAATGAAAGCACTCCAGGAGGGCGTGGAAGTTCGAGGACCATCATCGTTCAACCGAGATAAAGAAGTCAAGGTCGCGGCTCCCAAGTCACCTATGTTCAAAGGCACTCGTGACACACAAAAGGTGGAAAATTTCCTATGGCACTTGGAGAATTACTTCAAGTGCAGCCAAGTGAAGAGCGACGAAACAAGATCAACATTCTCGTGTTGTATCTTTTAGAGATGGTCATGCTATGGTGGAGGCGCAAGGAATCCGAGATAGGCAAAGGTCTTTGCACCATCAACACTTCGGAGAAATTCTGAGAAGAGTTCAAGAAGGCTTTCTTCCCTAACAACGTCATCTATGAGGCCAGGCGTAAGTTCATGGAGCTGAAGCAGACATGTAGTATTCAGGCGTACGTGAAGGAGTTCATCACTCTCACGCTTCAAATTCCCAACATCACATATGAAGACATGTTGTTCCACTTCATAGAGAGATTGCAGAATTGGACCAAGACGGAGTTGGAATAACAACAAGTCAAGACCATCGATGAGGCCATCGCACAAGTCGACCTTAATTGACTCCAAGCATGACAAGCACGACAATGGGAAAGGAAAGGACATGAGAACTAGTCATGCCAAAGGTTGGGGAGATCGTGGCCGAGGCAAGGAGTAACAACCACATCCTAAGAAATACGACTGCTATAAGTCAGATGGCAAGTGGTTCGGGCACCAAAACTATACCGAGAGGATGGCACAAACTACAAAGGGAGACGATTGCTATATATGCGATAGACGTCATGGTAACACCTTAGAATTTATTAAGTTTGGTTGGTAAAGGATGTTGCTGAAAAGTTCGTGGTGCAGTGGTCACAGACTTATGCACGGTTCTTCGAGGGGTGCACGAGCCGTAGATCAAGCCGTGGAGTTAAACCCAGTGTTGGAAATTTTAGGGCTAGTTTAAGAGTGAGTTCACGGACCGTGAATTGGTCCACAACCCATTGACCCACTTGTGAACAAAACCACAGATACTCAGGAAATTCTGACCCTTCACTAATGCCTGAACGATTCGTGGAAGGATGAACGGTCAGTGAAGGCTTTCGTTATGGGGTTCATTCATTTTTAAGTCAAAGTTATTTTAGTCTTTTACTATGAATATAATACCTATTATATGTAGTTTTGACCATAATTCTTAGCCCTATAACTTCCATCCACCCTTATAAATTTCCCCAACTCTTTCATTCCCTCAAATTTCCAAAACCCTCTCCAAAGTTTTCTTCAAAAATCCTCTGTGTAGATCAAGGAAGAAGAAGCTAGGGTTCTTCAAGATCAAGTCTTCTTTATTCATCATTGCTTAAGGCTTCAATCAAGGTATGTAGGGAGTTCATCAATGGGCTCCATTCACCCATTGAGTCCCTAAAGTTTCTTCAGTTCTCCAATTCAATTTCTCAGAATTGATTAGATTTTCATTCAATTCCTCATGAGTTCTATTTGTATGGATTCAATTGATTGATTATGATATTACTTTGATGATTTGGATTCAATTACATTCTTTTCAACTAATTCCATGTGAAATCATGCATGATCTATAATTTTGACCATGAACCCTAATTTGCATGAATTTGAAGAGAAGCTAAGTCAATGAATGATGTTTTCATGAACTTATGCATGATATATGAAAAGAAAGGTTTTACGATTTAGGTTTCTATAAGATTGTCATCAATGAAATTGTGAAAGGTTTTCTCACATTAAGGAATCATTTCTTGGTGAAAGGTTTTCTCACTTAGACTTGATTCAAGAGTTAAAGAACTACTCTACGATGTTTAAGCTTGGATTAATAATTGAATAATATTTTTCCATGTATGATGATGACTTAATGAAAATGACTATTCAGTTGGTATTTTACTTAGAACCAAGAGAACTTTGAGGTGGAGGCTAAAATAGGATAGTCTCTAATAGCAACCTCTAGTTCCAAACTATGAGCCTCCGTAGGTTTGCCTTAAATGACCTAGCTAGTGGATACACATATAGTATATGACATGATACATAGTTCTACCTTGGCAAGTAGACTCTCCCTTCTTGATGTGGGAGTAAAATCGGATTCTGTGTATAGCTCACATGATTTATTATCGGTTAAAGCTAATATCCCACAAAATGAACTAAGTTACCTTCAAAATGTTTTATGAAGCTTTCCTTATGATTTCAAGATGCATTTACCATATTTATGATTATGATCCTATTTGAAGGTTTTTACTATGCTAGCTTGGTTATGCATATCATGTTTTCGATTATGTATCCTTATGATCATGTCTCATGTTTTATTGCATTCTCCTCATACTTAGTACATTTCATGTACTAATGCATACTTGTGCTTACATTGTCCACTAATGTAGGGTGTGACGACTCCTCTCCTACCATTCGTGGCTAGTTGATCATCATAGAGATTGATGACTTGGTGAGTTCCAATACTTCGAGGACTTTGTCACATTTATTGCTTTTCTTATGTTTTCAGTTTTCATACTTTGTATGTGGTGTACGGGTTACATCCTGACTACTCCTTTTGATGTAATAGCTGGCTTGTCAAGACTTTGTTGTACTTCCGCTTATATGTCGAACTCTTTATTTCTTATGAGATTTCTTGCTTTTCTCTATTATGTTGTGTATATGTATGCCAAGTGGATTGTGTAGGGTCTCTCAGGGTCTTATACGACATGTTACATCTAGGGTGTACTTTAGATTGTGACAACTAAATACACTTAAGTCTAGGGGTGTTCCCGGTTTGGATGAAAAACCAATCCAAACTGAAAAGTCAAGCCAAACCGATTAAATAAATCAATTTTATCTGGGTTTGGATTTGATTTTGTTAAAAAATGAAGAAATAATCGAACCGAACCGAAAAATTATATGCATATATTTTATTATTATTATACATGCATATTATATTATTTTTATAAATAATTTTAAATACCTTATATGTTTTCATCAACATTTATAATTTATTTATGGAAGCAAAAACGTTCAAGATTAGAATATTTATCTTATTGGTTTCATGTATATGACTGTCTACGAGAATTCTTAGTGGGATTAGGAATGTCATTGTCTCTTCCTTCTAGGTCAAAATTAGGGGTGTGTAAAAATTGAACTGACCGATAAATTGAACCGAAAAAGTGTTATTGGGTTATTACTATTGGGTTAACTGTTTTTATGGTTTTGTTAAAAAAATATTGGATTGTTGGTTCTATATTGATTTTTAATAATGGGTAAATTGACAATCCATTAAGACGGTAGTAATTTACTACTTTTATCTGTACATAAATATTAATTTCAATACCTTACTAGTTATTGTCTTTCCCCTTTAGCCTTCAATTCACACCTCACGGTAACTTTGAGTTCACAACCTTACATTATTCAAAACGTCAAAGCTTAAAATAAGAACCTTATTCCTCTTATTTCTCTTTGTATTAAACTTGTATAGTTCTTTTCATGTTAGTTATTATTGTTTCTATTTTATGAGCATTTGTAAAGTTACATTCTTGTCGTGTCGCATTAAATGTATTAGAGAAGTCATATATTTGTTTTATAAGCATTTTTCTTATTGGTTAAATCGAAAATCGAATCGTTAAGGACCAAAATCAATAATTCGATAAAAATATCTTATTGATTTGGTTATTTTGGCGTATTTAAAAATAAAAAATCAAATCAATAATATATAAAACTGAACCGAACCGATCGAAGCACACCCCTAGCCAAAATGGTGAATTTTGAATCATTATTCACAGTAAATAAAGTGATCGAAAGTTCTGTAATGTTAGTCGTTCTAAATATTTTTCGTTTTGAATGAATTGTTGTCTTTTTTCCCTCTTTTGAATGAATCTTTTTTATAAAAAAATATTTTGTATGGTTAATAACCGAATAACCGAATCAAACCGAACCAAAACCGACAACAACCAAACCGACAAATATGTATTATATTTGGTTTGATTTGATTTTGATAATTTAAAAACCGATTTAATTGATTTAATTTTAATTTTAACCACTAATCAACCTAAACCGACACATAAACACCCCCACTTAAGTCTCAACACTTGTTGTTGCCTCAGACAGCCAAGAAGGATTAAGAAGTCAGAAAAATAAGGCGCCCTTTGTTTTGCCGTTGTTTAGCTTTACTCTCTACAAGTTACTCTCTAGTCTTTACTTAGGGTTAGTATAATTAGAATAGTATTAAGCAAAAAAAAGAAGAAGTTAGAATAGTAAATTAGTTATATATTAATAAATATAATAGAAAATTAAATAGGCTTTATAGAAAATTATGGCATAATATTAAATAAGGTTTTAGCCTTTAGGGTTTCTAATTAATTAATATATTATATATTCGTTTATATATTTTAGTTAAACAAAGTAGAATAACTCTTAACAAGTTAATATTTATTTAATAAAAAAATTTGAGTAAATTCACGCCATATTAATAAGTCATTAATTATAAAATATTAATTAATTCACCAATTATATATAGGATAATTCAATACAAATAAATTAATTTTGTGATTTTTGAAACTTGAAACGTGACGATACAAAACTAAAAAAGCGTCCGCACCATTTCTTTTATCCACGTGTCGATTGGCGGTGCAACTTCGTTTTTTTATCTGCCAAAAAATCAGTTTCGGAGGAAAGACAGAAGATTAGGTGGTGCGGAAATTCGGCCCTTTTTTCCCTTACCTTTTCCATTCAAAGAATATTTCTGATTCAATCTTTCTGATTTCACGCTTCGATTGTTTTCGTTTTCTCTCGCAAGTTTGGTTTTGTTTTTATATCTATCTCCAATTCAAATTCAAATTCAAATTCAAAGGTTCGTTTGTTCAGTTATGTAGTTGATAATGAAATCTTTTGGTAAGAGATTTGTTGACTCAATTGTTTGTTGATCAGGAATTTATGACTCTTTATGAGCTAGATCCTGACGTAGTGAGGTGGAATCTTCACCTTATTGATGTTTGTGGTATAAACAATGGTGGTTCTCTCGGAACTGTTACTCAATATGACACAGATTTTTCTCAGCTTGGGTATGCAAGAGAAGGTTATGCTGAGCCTATGCATATTAACGTGGAGAATGATGAGGTAATTGCCCATGCTCTTCAGGAGGAACTATCACGGCTTTCACTGGACGAATCCATAGGATCTTCACACACTGATGAAGAAGAACATCGAAAAGCATCAGTTCTTGCTCAGGATTGGGCTGCACCCTCAACGAGGTTTTCCAATCTCGGTAAGGAAGAGGCAGAAGTTTTGTGTTTCTGGTTTGCCTACATATATTGATATTGTTTTGGAATGTGCAACAGTTGATGGCATTCAGGAAGACACAGATAGTACTGGATTTTGCCCTCTTACAGTTACATCATCCAATTGGGAGTCACCAGAGATAGAGGATGAATCTCTTCTTGATGGTGAAGTTGGGAAACGTTTGAATCAGTTGGATGCCATCCCTGTAAGTTTTACTTGTTACTCTACCGATTATGGAGAGACTTCTTTGTAATTATAGTCTGAATTATTACATTGCTTGAATTATTTTCTGATGCCAATGATGTTCGACATAAATCAAAAGGGGCATGTTACTCATGTTTAGAAATTGAGGTTACTGCTTGCTTTTTGCGTTTGTGTTGAGTGTGGTGTGCTTCTGGTGTTGCAATCACGACTACTCATAGTGAGCCACTATCTTTTGATAGCCTCTGGCAAAGTAAATTAGGGTCCTTCCTTCTTGCTTTTTAGTAGTATCTGTTGGTAGAAAAGAGGAAGGGAGGGTTTTAGCTTTCTTACTTATTTAGTAGCGTATGTTGGTGGCAAAAAAGAAGGCAGAAACAATTTAGTGAACAGGCTTATGGGGAGACTTTGAGTAGTGTCTGTTGGTGGATTAGTGGAAGGTGAGGTTTCGGCTTTATAACCTTTTTATTAGGGTATGTTGTTGGCAATGAGGAAGGCAGAAACAATTTAGTGTACAGGCATATGGGGAGAGAGACAGTTAAACGTCAACTCACCTTAAGAGTAGTGTAATGCTCATGATTTCACATCCACAGCTAGGAAATAAAATATCAGATAAGCATTAATGGCAGTTCCTTGTTCACTTAATTTGAAGCTAAGGGGTGGAAATTTAAGAAGCCAAGAGAGGGAAAGGGAGATTGCCATCACATCTTGTTTTGACCGAAGAAATTGCTAATTAGTTGAAAGTATTCCTTGTTGTCTAAAGAAGAAAAATATGCCTTTCTAAACAGTGGAAAAGGAGACATCTGTATATATGGTTTCAGTACATAGGTACTGTTTTGTGATATAATACAAAGTTACCTATTTCAAAATAAAAATAAAATATGCCTTTCAATGTTGTATTTGACATTTCATTTTGGAAGGAAGGACATGACATTGGCTTTTATGATTTCCGTAGGATAAAATCGACTCTTTTAGCTTCTTTGTTCCATTCTTGCCTCTTGAGATCTATGAGAATTGGGCGCTTGTTTCTTGATGCAGTAGAGGAAGGTTTTTTTTCCGTACTTTGATTTTCCAATTTCTTTTATTCAAAACACGAAAAACCTAGATGCCCCTTTAAGTTGTCCACAACAACTAGATAAACACTTTAACTCTACAAAAGGCTAAATAGACACCTCTACATGGCACAGATGCGTCTCAAGAACACCTCATGAAGGATACATGTGTTAATTTGTCTGTATGACATGCTAACCATAATTCTAATACATGTGTGAGGTCTAGCGAACTTGTGCCTTCACGAGACACACCTGTGCCAAGTAGAGGTGTCTATCTGGACTTTGATGAGTTTAAGTGTCAATTTGGTTGTTGTGCAATGTGCACAACTTAAAGGGGCCATCTATGTACTTTGCCTATATGAAGCTGTTTTACTTTATGCAAAAGAGAAATGGTAGACTATATTAGAAATATTAACAGGTCAGATGTGATTGGGCCAATCTTGACTTACCTTTGGGTAACTAATCTTTTCAAATGGAATACTAGAAATCTTATCACTTCAACTCCTTATGCTTAGAATCCTTTTAGTTACCCGTGTGCTTGAGAAATGCTTAAAAGATTTTCCCCTATCTGGTCACCTGATTATGAGCTATAGTGGTCTTTTTTTCCACTTTTCTTTATTTAAATTTTACCGCATAAATTTACAGCAGCCAAATGCAAATGAATGGTTCATGCAGCTACTAGGCGTTGATGTTTGGCCCTTTCAATAGTTTGTGATATTATGGCATCCATCTTCATTCTTTTCTGCTGTTTGTGTTGTATGATTCTTGAACTACCATTTTCCCCCATTCCTGCTTTTGTTTTTATGCCATTATTTAGATCAACTGGAATTACTTTTAACTCAGTTCCCTGGTTTCTACAGCATGTTCCCAAAATTAATGGAGATATACCCTCAGTAGATGAAGCCAAATCAGATCATCAAAGGCTGATGGATAGGTAACTTTAACTTCTCTCCACTGGTAGCTTTTTGCTAGCAAAAGAACTTTGAACTTGTCAGATAAGTTATGTTACTTTTCCTGTCTGGTATTCTTTATCTTTGTCTTCTCCAAGCTAGCGATGGACTTGCATATGAGACGGTCGACATTGCATGTTAACAAGTTTTGCCTAACTGAGAAGTATCAGAAAAATTAAAGCCATCATAATTCGAAGTTTCAAATGCATATGGACTTCATAATAGAAATGCATTTAACTCTCCTCAAGCCAGTGTTTTGTGTCGCATCCTAAACGGAAGGAATGTGACTGCTACCTGAAGCCGTAACTCGCCCCAAACGAACCACATAAACCTGTCTGCCCATTTCATTAACCTTCATTCACATATATCATCACTTGAACATCTGAAGCTTCAATCATAAAACGTTTGGCTTATAATAACCTCAGCAATACTAAAAACATAAGTTGGGTTCATATCGAAAAACATGAGTGTGGAATAAACTAATAACATCATCATAACACGAGATATGAAATATAAATTGCATGTACATAACTACACCTCTTACTGTGTCACTAGAACCCTTAAAAACGTACATGAGGATGATGGCACAAGACGAGTGCTGGCTCATTCAGAATAAATGTCTAAACCTGCACCCACCTGTAAAAGACATGGAGCTCACCAAAAGTGGATCAACGAGAAGAGAAGATTCTAACTCGTGTCATTATCTCCAGTTGCAGTAGTATTTGGAATACAATAAGTTTCCCCAATAAGGGTTTATGAACAATTTCCTAGAAGTTGTACCGGTAAGTATCATTGACTCTACCCTATAAGGTTTGAGTGAAGTCTCTGACCAAGTTCATCAGACTCTTCACTCTCGCTGCCGCACTTGTGTCGACACGACATGTGTGTGAGTAGGGGTGTTCACGGTTTGGATAAAAACCGATCCAAACCGAAAAACCAAACCAAACCGATAAAATAAAACCGATTTTATTTGGATTTGGTTTGGTTTGGTTTTAGATTTTTGAAAACCGATAGTATTTGGTTTGGTTATGGTTTTATTCGAAAAAAACCGAAGAAATAACCGAACCGAACCGATGAATTATATACATATATTTTATTAATATACATACTTAATATATTATTTTTATAAACAATTTTAAAGATCTTATACATATTTTCATTAAAATTTCTTTATAATTTACTTATTGAAAGCAAAAATGCCCAAGATGAAACATTTATCTTATTGATTTCATGTATATGAGTGTCTATATCAATTCTTTGTGGGACTGAAAATGTTATTGTCTCTTCCTTCTAGGCCAATATAGTGAATTTTAAAGCTTTATTGATAGTAAATTTAGTGATTGAAAGTTTAGTAATTTAAGTCATTCTAACTATTTTTCGTTTTGAATGGATTGTTGTCAATTTTTTCACATTTTAAATGAATTGTTTCTTTTATTTTTGTGTATGATTAATAACCGAATAACCGAACCAAACCAAACCGAAACCGATAATCACCAAACCGATAAATGTATATTATATTGGTTTGGTTTGGTTTTGATAATTTTAAAACCGATTAAGTTGGTTTGATTTTGATTTTGACCAATAACCGATCCAAACCAACCCGTGAACACCCCTAACTGTGAGTGTGGGATCCGTACCCGATTTTGGGTACTTTGACCAAAATTGATGGAGAAATTCTGTGAATCTTTAAATTGAGATCATGAAGGATCCAAGCTCAGATCCGCACCCGTATCGGACACCCACACCCCAGTCCGAGTAACTTAGGTCTTTGAAACATGGGTTACATGCAACACTAGCAAATAGTTTTAAAGCGTTTAAAAAATCCACGTAAGGAAGACAATAGGCATTAGAAGCATAAAACTTGAAAATTGTACTTAGAAACATTTGACATCATTGAACGTAGTATTTCTTTAATTGGGAATTCCTATAGACCCCTGACATCAATATTAATACGCCATTGTATGTCATGACGGATGACCAACACTCAGTCGACAAGGTGGTATCACCATATATGCCATATGGATCAACACTCAATGAGCTAGCACCAAAGCCTCCTTTTTAGTAGGATGGCATGAGTAGTTGCCAAAGTGGTTCTAACTACTATCCTAAACTGACATTTAGCTTCTAGATAAACGTTTTGGCCTTTTGAAACGAATACCCGCTCAACTTCTAAGATTCTCCAAAAAACATTTAATATAATCATTTGACTATTTTTAGGTCTACTAGTTTTACGGCACGTGCGTTGCACGTGTGTATCGTATATGTAGTCTATGATGTTGTAAAACAGAATTAATATTACTAAATTAAAGCTTTTTAGTAAATAATTATAATTGAACATACAAAGGACAAGTGTTTTTTAAATTATTAATACATATTATCATAGAGTTGTATTTTGAGTTCAAAATGATCATATGTCATTAAAACATTTCAAAATACATTCAAAGTTTAAATATGGGAGAAAGTGACATTTCTTTAATAATATTATTTCTTACTTCACTCAATTTTGTAAACAAATCTAACCAACAAAATAGAAAAAAAATATCACCATAGCCTTTCCTCTTGAGGTTATGACCATAAATGATGTACACCATTTAAGTAGAAATTTTGTCTTAAATATTCATACTTGAAATTTAGTATGTGCATGACACTAATAAGGATTACCATAAATATTTCAATATTTTATCTTTATATGCAACATAGCTTTTACAAAATATTATTACTCAATTAATATTTGAGTAAGACTATCATAGAGAGGTAATTTTACCAAAAAAGTGTACTTGGTTGTTATCATGAATGATGGTTATATATACTTCAGTAGAATAGTTTAATTTTAATATATGAATAACATCACCTATGGTGAAAATTATTTCATTTCATTAAGCTTCTACCTTATCTTTGTGAAATTGTAGTCTTCTCCTTTTTTTCTGCCACATACATATCATATAGTTATTGTCTAATGAAAGTATCTAGTATCTTATAGAAGTTGTATCATGATATAAAATATTTAAATTTTTCAATAATAAAAATTAATAGATGAATAAAATTTAAAGTATTATTTATAGAATCATTAATTTCATTTAAGATCATTTTATGATCAATCACTATTTTCTTATCTATTTTTATATAGCTAGTAAGGAGTGTATCTTGTGATATAAAGAAAAATTATATGGAACAATACATAGCCAATGATGAAAGAAGACGAAAATATATGTTCATGCTAAATTCACTCTAGTGTTCCATTTGATTTAAAACTCTTGATACCCATTGTTTTAGCAAAATTAGGAAGAAACTCCTTCGTTTGAGGGAAAAGAATAAAAATTAAAAATAAAGAAGAAATATCTTACCCAAATCATATGCCTTTTTTCATATCTGTTTAATATTATTGTCTCTCCCACAACTTTTCGTTACTGTTAACTCATGAAAATGGTAAGAAAAAATACGAGTGTGAATTGATGAATGATTTGCTACAATTTTTTCACCAACTCTTTCTTATGAGGTACCTCGAATTTTGTTGAATTTCGAGCTTAATCAATTTTTGCAAATAACAATTGAGATTTTTTAAGAAAAAGAAGAAGAGTAGAGAACTTAAAGAAATTGTAGTTTAAAAGTGTAAGGAAACCCCTTTATTTATAACTACCAAATAGTAGTATGAATATGTGTTAATTGTGCCTTATCCGAAAAGTCACAACCTTTCGAAAAAGTCACTGCTTATCAAAAAAGTCACAACCCTTTAAAAAAGGCACAACTCATCAGAAAAGGCACAACCCTTTAGAAAAGTCACAACCCTTAGCAAAAATCACAACCCTTCGGAAAAGTCACAACTCATTGAAAAAGTCACAACCCTTTGGAAAAGTCACAACTCATTGAAAAAGTCACAATCTGAAAAGGTATCTACTTTCAATATAATAAAATTAATAAATTAAGTATTTTTAATTGGGGGTATTATAGTAATTCAACATTCAAGTTTGGGAGTTCATGCTTTTAAAGTAGTATAGAATAGAAGATAGATAGATAGATATAGATTGAACATTTGGAGTTTGACATAATTAGCCTATGGAGCATTTAAGACATCATTCATAAGGTAAGAATCATTTTTGATAAGGTAAGATTTTTTTGATAAAGTACCAAAAAGGTGCAATAGAGTATAACACTCGGACAGAAACCAAATAAACAAACTGCTATATTCTTCTTCCTAATATATCCAGAAAATTCATAAACTGTTTCAGATTCACTAGCAGACTGCTTTTACACACCAATTATGTAAATTATGTAGACATCTATTTCTGTTCTAGAGATACGCTACTTTGCTCCTTTTCCCTGAAAGGATATGGCACCTGGGCCTAATTCAACCCTAAAAGCTAGGTCATGAGGGGAGGATTGCCCAAGTCTATATAAGCAGACCACCAGTCCATTCCCCAACCAACGTGGGATTTTTACCCTAGAACACCCTCCCCCCTCATGCCCAGGCCCAACTGGAGCGTGGACCGGGAGTGCAAATAGGATAGACCTGGCTCTGATTCCATGTAAAGATATGGAACCTGGTCTAACTCAACTCCAAAAGCTAGCTTATGAGGGGAGGATTGCCTAAGTCCATATAAGCAGACCACCCCATCCATTCCCCAACCAATGTGGGACTTTTATCCAGTCTAACACCCCCTAAAAGCATGCCCTGTTTTCTCCAGCCAAATAGTCCAAAAGATGCAGTGTGGAATAGTTTTCTATATCTGTTTTATCTTTTTAGGTATCATCTGATATTGCCCGCCATGCATTAAACCTTAACATTCTTAGGCATCACCTGTGAAACACCACAGATGTTCAGAAATAAATCCCAACACTTTCTTGAATATCTAGAATGAAGAAGCAGGTGATCAATTGTTTCCTGATCTTCCTCACACAAGTAGCATCTGTTACGTAAATCATAACCTCTTTTCTGTAAATTATTTCGAGTTCACAAGCTTCCCTGGTTGCAATCCATCCAAGGCATGCTACTCTAAAATGAGCTTTTGTGTTCCAAATCAACAGATCGTAGCATATTACTCAGTGAGTATCTTTTATCTTTGCTAGCTATCCAGATCAGAGAATCCCTCTTACTTTGATCAATGTTAACTGATTATAGTTGCTGAAGTAAATGGCAAAACTCCTCTACCTTCCAATAAATCAAGTTTCTTCTAAATTCAAGTTTGCAGTCTGAATCTGAATGCAAACCCCCACCTTATTAATTGAGCAGTTAAATAGATTAGGAAGTTTAGTCTTCAGGCACTCTTCCCCGACCCATATATCTGTCCAGAATCTGATTAATTCTCCATTTCCCACCGCCTGATCAGTGTATTGAATAAATTCTTCCCACAAACCATATACGCCCTTTGAGACTCTCCCGTTTACATTCCTCTGAATAAGAGATATTTTCCAACCATCATTCTTGCCATAAATAGCGTTAACGTTGCATTCGGCATGTTCTCTCTATTTTCCTCTGTTCTGCTCCACTTGTGTTAAGGCTCACGATGGAAGCTCCTTTCCCTCCTCCACACTATGGAGGGGATTACAGTCCCTCCCCAATTTAGCCAACCCTCATGCCAGGCACCCCGCTCGCTACGTGTGCGACAACCTGAGGGTGTCTGTGACTAAGTTTTGGTCCTTCTTCCCATTTTTCCCACTTCTTTCCTTAACTTGTCTCTTTCAATCACTTCCACCTTGTACCATAAATATGTCGATGTGTACCGAGGATTCCACAACCCTCGTGTGGGTGTGGGCACACCTCGAGGTCGCTCAAAACACTCCATACCATTAAATAGCCTGCATTAAATGTTTGATTTTATGGGACCTTACATTTTTTATGTCAACTGTTTCCTTGCTTAATATTTCCTCCCGAACTTCATTTCGAAGCATTTTTTCATAAACGTTGCAAAAATAGCCATGTTATTCCGTATGAAAATTATTTCATTCAGTGGATTTTATTAAATGTGGAAAACCATGTGTTGTACTTTTGTCTACGCTGCTGAACACAATTGTAACCAAATAATATCTGGAGGGATTATAGAAATAATTTCTTCTTATTTGTACCTTCTGCATAATGATGGATGGATGTTTAAGAGAAGCACTTTTTCTCTAGGTTGGAAGTATATGATCTAGTTGAGTTAAAAGTTTCTGGAGATGGCAATTGTCAGGTCAGTTTATTTTCGTTTTTTTCTAATAACTTCTTGCTGATTAATAGGAATATTGCAATAGATTTACTCCTTTTTTGGGACTAAAATCACTATACGTTAATTGTTTAGGGGTCGTTTGGTTTGTAAAGAAGTTACACCGGGATTATAACATGGGATTATTTAGTGGATATACTTTCTTTTTGGAAGATGTTTGGTTCATTGGTTAAAAATGGGATATATGACATATAAACATGGTTTGGTTTTGTAGATAAAGATGGATAAACTTTTATTATTAGTTTTAACTTTGACTTTCCGGAAGGACTTCCGGAGAATTTTTTTGGAGAAGGGTACTTTTTTCATTTGGTTGTTTTATTTCGGGATTAGCTATCTTGGGATTTTATCCCAAATTTGCGTATACTGGATACAAAGATCCAACCAAACACTAAATTAAATACTCCCACATTCTATCCCATGATTATTTCTCTTTATCCCGTGTGAATGTGAACCAAACGAACCCTTAGAGAATAAAATAGCTTTTTTCAAATCTCTGTAAAATGCATCTCTTTCTCTTTTCTTTTCTTCAACTTTTTTCATGGCTCTCTGTCGTGGGCTGAAAATATTAACGTCCATTATGTATTATTCTGCTGAGTTCCGCATCCAATGGAATCCAAGGAAATTTGACCCGTTGCTTTCATGTATGATACTTCAAGAGTGTCCTTTTCTCTGCCCTTTGCTCTCGATCTATCCCCTTCCGTTTTCTGCCCTTATTCCTATCTCTTTTGATGCTGCGAATCACATGTTCCAATCTATATGATAATTTTTATTTAGTAAATTACCAGATGGTTTTGTGTCTGTTATTTTTTTTTATTTTTTTTTGGGGGTAGGGGGGTCGGGGTGAGCTTAGATTTTCACTTTTGGTTAGGAAGAAAAAGTTGAGAGATCTATCTTTTGGAGTGTCAGCCCTGAGAGGATATTGCAGAGGATGGAGGAGGTAAAACTTTTCTACTTCCATTTCAGCTGTATCAGAGATAGGCCATTCACAACTGTGTTTTCTCAAATCTTATCTTTTACACTATTACACATGATATATGAGGTAATATTTGTTAACTTATGTAATGCTTTATGAAATATTTGCAGTTCCGCTCACTGTCGGACCAAATATATCGCAGTACTGAGCATCACAAATTTGTGAGGGAACAAGTTGTTAAACAGGTATTTCTCAAACATTTTTGTTAGTTGCAACATCATTTCAATACTATGGTTGCATGTGAGCTGTAAAAAAGAAAAAAACAATAGTTGCATCTCAGCACAAGGGTTGCATCCAGCTTCCAAAAAAACAGAACTGGGGAAGTGTAACAAAGAGGTGCCAATCAAGCCAAAATTTACATATGCATACCTATTCTAATACAAAGTTAAATTAAATCATGGTTGTGCATTGTGATCATGTCATTCAATTTACTTCTTTGTAGCTATTGGTTACTTCTAATTATTGTTTTTATCAGCTCAAGTCCCATAGGGAGTTGTATGAGGGTTATGTTCCAATGGTCTATGATGAATACTTGAAGAAAATGAGCAAGTAATGCCTGAAGCTCCTTTCAGTTTGTCTTTCTTATTTTATGATTATGCTCTTATAGGACTGGTCCTTCTAACAGGGCTGGCGAATGGGGTGATCATGTAACTTTGCAGGCTGCTGCAGATTCAGTATTGTTCTCTTCCCTATCCTGTGTTCTGGTTTTTGTGTTTCCACAATAATTTGTTGAATTGATTTATTTGGAAATTATTCTAGCTTATATGGATGAAACTGATAGTTACTTGTAAGTAGATTGAGTGGAACATCAAATTTGGGCTACGGTGGTAGTTTTCAGGTCTGTTGAAATTGATTGGTTATATGATGGGGCATTAGAAGTGAACTATTTACAAACTAGCCTTCAGTGCTATTCTAGATTAAACAGGGGTCTGGTGCATGCTTAGTCAGGTAACCCCTGTTTGGATAAGCCGGCTTCAGTTTTTGTTAGAGGATGGATCTTCTTAAGAGAAGGAAGCTCTTAATGACATATTTGGATAGATTCCATTCTTGGTGAGGTCTTCAGTGCTATTGTAAGTTGTACAATATGACAGTTCTCTTCAAAACAATTAACAATGAGCAGTAGGCATTAAAAGTTCTTATCATTTTTAGACAATCTGTTTATTAGATCAAGTGAAGTGACTTTGTATTTAATAAGTCGACTCTGCCAGTATTTGCTCTTGATCCCAGTAGCTTTGATGGCTTATTTATGTCTCTGAATGAGACTTTATGAAATTTTGGCATAAAGCCTCTCTCAAAATATTATAACAGGAAGAGCTTATGGGTTGACAAAAATATGAGCTCTTCGGATTTCTTAAGTAAAACCCTTTGATTTTACACAATTGCCAATGGCTTCTTGATTTTTCAGAGAGAGAGATTGCCTTGGGCTTGAGTTACTTTGGGTTCCAAGTCATTGTCCCAATTCTTGTTGATGGATTTAGGTCTTCTTGATGATAATTCTATCTCTGACCTCTTCTGTGTATGAACTGTAGTTTCTTGACTAAGAATTTCTGAATTCTGTTTTTGTGACCTTGTTATTCTAGGCTCTAGGTAGGAAAAATAAAACTCATAAAGATCTGAAATTCGATATATCATAGGCAAACAAATCATTATAAATTCAAAAGAAATGAGAAATGTATCCTGATAAGATCTGTTATTAGGAATTTCAGGGGAAGCATGTTGAGGAATCTGAAAATAGATTTGCTTATGACTTGTCATTCCTTTGCTTTGTCGCTTTTGGTTCATTTCTGAGTGGAGCATAAAACCTACTACCATTTATAGAAGACAAACATAAGCCCGTGTTCTGTATCACGAAACATTCTTTGCTGACTTTCATCAACCAGAAGAAATTTGGGTCGATTTTTTTTTTCTGCAAACAAGTGCTAATTAAGGCCGCTTCCTAATGATTGCTGGATGAAATTTAGTTATTCACATTGTGGCCCTTCAGTCGTCACCCATGCAACAAATGCCGAAACTGATGGTGATAACATGTTATTTTTCCCCCAAAGCCTAGCTCGAGTGGCAAAAGGTGGAGGATTTGTGGCTTAGGTCACAGGTTCAATCCCCACACCATGCAAACCGAAGCCCGGTATTTAAGTGGAGAAGGGTAGAGGGGCGGGCCCATTATCCACCAAGTTTAGAAGGCTGTGATTGGTCCAAAGGGCGGGTCACAGACAAATTCTCGGTTATCAAAAAAAAAAAGAAGTTATTTTACCAAACTAGAAATCAGTTGCAAGAAGAACAACCCTCTAAAGCAGGAACTCTTTATCTGTAGATTTTAATACAGGGTTTCAAAAGGCTAAAGACTTGCTTACTTTAGAATCAACATGCTGTTCTGTAATGATTCTAAAATGTAAATCATCTTATACCTTATTTCCAAATTTTGGTGCTTCTAGCCTCTTTGTGTAAAAGATATACTTACCTGATTATGTGTGTGACTATCTCATAGCTGTTATAGGGAGCACACTTTTATTTACTTAGTTATATTCATCTAAAAGGTCCGAAGCCCGGTATTTAAAGTGGAGAAGGGTAGAGGGGCGGGCCCATTATCCACCAAGTTTAGAAGGCTGTGATTGGTCCAAAGGGCGGGTCACAGACAAATTCTCGGTTATCAAAAAAAAAAAGAAGTTATTTTACCAAACTAGAAATCAGTTGCAAGAAGAACAACCCTCTAAAGCAGGAACTCTTTATCTGTAGATTTTAATACAGGGTTTCAAAAGGCTAAAGACTTGCTTACTTTAGAATCAACATGCTGTTCTGTAATGATTCTAAAATGTAAATCATCTTATACCTTATTTCCAAATTTTGGTGCTTCTAGCCTCTTTGTGTAAAAGATATACTTACCTGATTATGTGTGTGACTATCTCATAGCTGTTATAGGGAGCACACTTTTATTTACTTAGTTATATTCATCTAAAAGGTTAAGTTGTTAGTGATAGTACACTTTTATTCACTTAATTATACTCTTAACATGCTCCCTCCAGTGCAGGCCATCCTTTTTCATGATCAAGCTTGTGGAAATTCTTTTTAGGCTTAATACATACATTCTCCTGAGGTTGTCCCCATATTTCTGTTACACACCCCTTGACCACGTGAATTACCCTAGACGCCCAAATTCGTTTAAAGTGTAGCTTTTACACCACTTTTGTGTTTAACCACTTCAGAAAACAGGGTGTATTTTCATGCACTAACAATGGTGTGATGCGTGTCATTAAATTTATAAAAGTAAAACACTTACAATTACAATCATACCCCTTAGCCATTCTCCCTTCATCTCTTTTTCTTCGGTAATGCAACTCCACTGCCGCAAACCACCAGAAAACCCAGAACCATCACCTTCCTATTCAAACCAAAACATAGGAACTTAAATCAATTTTAGTCCCAATTCCAGATTTAACTTTCATCCAAAAAAGTAGGACTAGAACTCTCAAACTCCATCATCCTCCTCACTTGCAACTGCATTACAAACCCAGAATTTTTCCAGCGGAGAGAAAGAGAGACCTGCATAGAAATTTAAATTTGCATATGTTGGGAACTTCCTTCCTACTAGCTATTTACTGCATATGGGTAAAAATGGTGATATCAAATCCCTCATATGAGATAGAAGAACCAGATCTTGGCCAGAATTTTCTCCATTGACCATTTCTGCCTCCTGTTTCTTCACACTCTTGAGTCCTTTTTAGAATTGGCAAATAGGAGATGAATTATGCATCAGAATTATGGTGATATATTATGGTAGCTTTCTGGTGTGAAAACACTGATGGAGATAATTTTAAGGTGGAAACTTGTGATTTTTGGCTGGTAGTAATGGAAATGGTTAAGAGGTGGCGGCGCTGGTGTAGAAAGAAGGTGAAAAAACTATCAATTTTTCCTTTAAAAAAATGAATATCATTGCAAAAAAAGTAATCTTTTTTTAGCATTCACTTGTCAGTTCTGTGTGTCAACACAAGTGTGACACATAGGTGGTAAGGTGTGTAATAGACACTCGTTTGAAATGTTTGGGTGTGGAAACCCAAAGGGTAGCGGCGGCGGGTTTCCCTTATCATCAAAAAAAAAAATGTTTAGGTGTCGAAGATGATTCTCGTGGTCAACAATTATGCAACAGGGATTTGGGGACTACCTCAGGGAGCAATCTATGTATTAAGCCTTTATTTTATAATGCTAGTGGTGAGGCTCTAACCAATCATCTCAGTCTGTTTTGATACCGTGTGACCTTATCTAAAAGCTTAAGCGGTTGGAGAGCACACAAGCCTTTATTTTATAATGCTAGTGGTGAGGTTCTAACCAATCATCTCAGTCTGTTTTGATACCGTGTGACCTTATCTAAAAGCTTAAGCGGTTGGAGAGCACACTTTTATTTACTTAATTATATTCTCTTTGTTATCTTTCTTCCAGATTTTTTGATTCACAAGCAATTCTTTTAAATTCATTTTGCATCTTGAAAGCAACGGTTATCATTTCTATTTTACTTAAAATAAATACTTAATGAAGAAACGCACTATGACTCTAAGAGAACCATACAAAAGTTAGAAAACAAATGTTTGCTATTATAATTTATAGGGACTCATTGTTCGCTTTGTTCTGGAGAACGATGCATGACATGGATGTGTTCTGTTATGCTCTCCCAAACCCCAATTTTTTGCTTGAAGCAGCTGATTAGGGCTGTCGCCGCTTTTTAGGATTTGATCCGCATAGATTGATTCTGAATTTTCTTCCTGAGGAATCTCAGTCCTTGGTGAATGGTTTGGAGTTCCCCAGTTGGTATCCTAAAAAAAGGAAGAGACCTTTGGTTGATTCCTTTCAGTCATTTCTCCTTCTCTTTTCCTAACCCGGAAGATCCTAATTTCTCTCTTTTATTGTCTATTATCATATGAATACAATGATGATCTACTATTTTCTCAATTCAAGTGTATTTTAAATTTTCAAATGGTGACTGACGTTTATTTCGATGTTATTACAGTATGGTGTTAAGATGTTCGTCATTACATCATTTAAGGACACCTGCTACATTGAGATTCTTCCACAAAGTCTGAAGTCAAACAGAAGTAAGTTTTCATTTTATTTTCATCAATGAGTATTTTCTCTGTTGTACATTTTTTTTACACCAAGGGAAAAGGCTCAAATATTCCATCGAACTATTAGACATGACTCATCATCCGTAAAAAAATTGACTCATTTATTTATGCCATGCCGTTACAAAACATGCTCATTTATGCCATTAGTTTTAATAGTGGTTTTGTAAAACAAGCTTTGCCATGTGGCCTCTTGTTAGACGTCCACGTCACCAAATCGGACTCATTAAAAAAATAACCCACCGACACTCTACTCATTTTCCTAACCCAACCCAGGGTGATACCATAGGCCCGCATCATCATCGATAAAGGAAACAAGTGCATCGAGACCCTCACCTAGCAACTGGTACGATATACAAATCTGTGCGTTGCAATTGCAGAGAAAACTCACCTTTGCAGCCACGTCAGAAAACTTGACGTTCCGATCAACGGGGAGGAGTTTGGTGTCTCTGCAGACATAGGAGAGTTGATGGTCGTGAGGACAAAGCTGATTTTTTTCTCCATAGCTACACATAAGCTTAACCTTTTGATTATCCATTGAGGCTGCCAAAATTCAAGCGAAAATGAGTGGGTAGTTTATCTTAGATCCTTTTAAGTATAGTAAATTGTTAATAATACAACATAATCATACTGAATGACTTACCAGGTTGATTTAATATATGAAATGGATCATATGTCATGGATGTTTTGTCCATCTCCTTTCTTTTTTCGTGGGAGGGACGAATCAATATCATCAGTGTTACTAATTTATTACATTATTAGTAGCACCTCCTTCTCTTTCTTTTCATCCTCTGTATGAAAGACTGAATGATTTGCCGCCTTAATTTATGCAGTCATTACTTTGAGCTTTTGGGCTGAAGTGCACTACAATTCAATCTATCCACAAGGAGGTAAATGACCATTTTTTCTTCTTCTTTTTTCTAGTTGTGGTAGAGAATAGTTATGCCCCTGTAAAAGCCATGCTATTTTATTGAACAGATATTGGTATTACATTTATTTTTGTTTCAACATATCTTTTGCCTACTAGAGAAGTTTCTTCTAATTAGTGTCTGATGGAAATTTACAACTTCCTGAAAGCTCCCTTAATCTTGAACTCCCCCTTCAAATCTCTTCCACATTTGCCAAGGTTTTGAAATAGAAAAAGTAGTACTGCTATTCCACATTCGTCAAGGTGTTGGTTTATCTTTTGTTTGCTAATCAATGGTCATGAATGTATTCTAACTTGATACTTCATCTCATGGAAGTCCATAAAGACAACTAGCTCAAAATTCAGTAACCCATTGAGGTTGAACTGGTATACTCCCAGGTTATTTAGCTGACTAGCTGTTGCAGTAGCGGTAGGGAAATAAATTGCAGTACTGGTTACTCATTGCCAATTTATTACAGAGTATCCTGCTGGAGAAATAAGAACAAGAAAAAAATGGTGGCAGCTAGGTTGAGACACCTGCACAGCCAGCTTCTTCAGGAACCAGCGCACACCTAATTATCACGAGAATTAGGGGCTCTGTGACAACATTTCTAACTCCGGATTGTATATATTTTATTCGCTTTCTCTGAGGTAGACTACAGTTTTGCCAATTTTACGGCTTTCATTCTTTGTGTATATATCATTTCATTTAGTTAGCTCTTCCATTATTAATTTATTTATACACAATGCTGTTTTTGTGTTTAATTTATTTCCCTTTCCATTTCAAAGTAAATTAAATTTGATGTTGTCCAAGGTTGTCTTCATCCTGCCTCAAGGAAAAAGTTTAGGAGGGTTGGAACCTAAGTAACGCGATAAAAGAACCAAATAGACCGAAGTAATGGACAAAATCAATATTTAAACATCATACACACAACTAGTGCAAATTTATGGCATACATATTTTTCTATCTACGATCATCGTTAAGGGCTCGAATAATTCAATGTAATAAATGGGGCATCATCAAGGGCCTTATATAATGCAACAAATGTGCATCATCAAGGGACCGCAATTATAATGCAATAAGAGAGCATCATCAAGGGCTCGTACATACTACCTCAAATGGTTATCATCAAGGTCCCGCCTATCATAGCATTTATCTTTTTATTGATCAAAGTAACTTATCTACATATTTTGTAAAGAAACAACTCGAGACACTTGTCACTTAGACTCGAGCACAATGAAGACTCGATTCGATATTAGATTTCGTGTAACCTTTTTAGCTTACGTTAAATCTTATTCCAAATTAGACTAAATCTTTGGTTCAATAACTCTTTTAAGTACTGTCAAGAATCAACTGCGAGTAAGAACTCGATACTACTCCATTAATTGTGTCTTTGAGAATTAAATGTAAATAGAAATTCTATTCATCTCTTATAAGAACTTTTCCTTTTTTTTTAGCTCTCAACATCAATTTTAGTGAAATTAACTCTTAATTTAACTTTAAAGATCTGTACATAGCCAGTTAAATATCAACAAGATGTTTAGAATAAAGATATAATCTAACTCATGGATTCTCAAGAATAGAGTATATGCAATAACATAACTCTTAAGCTCTCTCTCGGTACATATCGTTAAGAAAAAAGATTCACACCGAATGAAAATTTACATGGCCATTACATATCTTTATGTCAGTTAACTTGGAGACATGAAAAACCTAATCCGTTACAACACCTTAATCTACAATAAATAATGATATAGCTCACGTTAAGCTAAAGGACAACTTGTACACAATTTATCGAGTGACAAGCGTAGTTGTTAACTAATAATTCAACACTTCACTAAAGTTATGCTTTTCTTCCAACTAAATATCAACAGTAATCATAATTATATAGATCGTTCTCCAAAATTCCAGCCACGACAATATCAAGAAAATGCCTTGTTAAATTAGGTTGTAGGTCTAACTCACACCCCAAAATCTATCTCTAAGGGAGGAGGATTGTCCAAGCCTTATAAGGAATCCACTCATCTCATTAACCACCAATGTGAGACTTTTTGCTTTAACACCCACCTCACACCCAGTGCTTATCATCTGGTGTGTGGGCAATTTTTGACCCAACTCACGCCTAGTGCTTAGCATCTGGTGTGTGGGCAATTTTTTTTTGGACCCCAACATTGGGTGAGATGGGCCCTGCTCTGATACCATGTGAAATTATGTCTTAGGCCTAACTCACACCCCAAAAGTTAGCTTAAAGGGAGGAGGATTCCCCAAGCCTTATAAGGAGTCCACCCATCTCATTAACCACCAATGTGAGACTTTTTACTTTAACAGATCGTAAACTGTAGAAACTCAATCAGAGCAAAGAGGAGAGTTGAGAGATATGAACAACTTGTCATTTTTTATTGATTGGAGAAGTAATGTAGTTACAAGATGAGTAGCTATTTATAGTACTACTCCTTCATACTTTTACCAGACTACTAACTCACTCTTCCTAACAACAAGCTGGCACAAATAATTACAATTAACTTTTTCTTTAAATGACTAATATGCCCTTACTATGTCTAACTAACATCAACAACCTTTATCACCTTCTCTATATCACAACACTCCCCTTCAAGCTAGGTGGTGCAAAAATGTCTAGCACTCCAAACTTGGATAGTAGGTATTCATATTGTTGCCTAGATAATCCTTTTGTAATACATCAGTTGGTTGTTCTGTTGTAGGAAGATAATTCACCTTGATTAGTCCTTGTTGTACAATCAATCTCAATGTGTTTTTTCTCTCATGATATACTTGATTTGCAGCAATCTGTATGGCTGCCTTACTATCACTCTAAATTTGTACTGGTAATTGAACTTCAGCTCCTACTTCTTTTAGTAATCCAAGCAACCACACTAACTCCGACACAGTGGAAGCAAGACTCATATACTCAGTTTTAGTTGAGCTTTTTGACACTTTTGTTTGTTTCTTTGCCTTCCATGATACTAATGACTACCCAACTTTCACCATGTATCCTGTCACAAACTTCCTGGTTAGCAGGCAAGAAGCCCAACAAATAACAAACCTTGTCCAGGTTGCCTCTTTAAATATCTAACTACCCTGTATCAAGATGGGACTTCTTAGGTTGTTGTAGGAATTAACTGAGAGTTTGTGTGCTGAAAGTTATATCAGGTCTTGTCATATTTAGATATAACGATTTCCCTATCAGTTTTCGACACAGTCTTTGATCTATCGGTGGATCCTCTAACTCTTCCTGATATTGATTCACATGTTCATTATATAAATTTGATGTCAGTTTAATATTGATGTCAATAGGAGTTCCTGCAGGTTTGGTTGTTGTCATGCCAACTTCAGATATAAGCTCAAGAGCATACTTTTTGTGGTGCATTAATATACCAGCTGATGATCTAGTGAATTCAATGCCTAGGAAGTACTTTAACTCACATAGATCCTTCATCTTAAAGGCTTGTTGCAGTGCCTTTTTTGTTTCTTCTATCAACTTGAGGTTGCTACCAGTAATCAGTAATTCATCCACATACACAAGAACTATAATGTCCCCTTCTTCTATTTTGTTGATGAACAAAGAATAGTCATGTTGGCTTTGCTTAAACCTGAGTCTAATAAGAGCTTTAGTCAGTTTATGGTTCCATTGCATTGGGGCCTGCTTGAGACCATATAGAAATTTTGTCAGTTTACACACTTTCTCCCCTTGATTGAAAAAAACCCTGAGGTAGGTGCATATATATCTCATCTTCTAGATCACCCTGCAGAGAAGCATTAAACATATCCATCTGATGGATATACCAATGCCTAGATGTTGCAAGGGAGACTATGGTCCTGACTGTAACCATCTTAACTACAAGTGAAAAAGTCTCTTTGTAATCTATGGCCTCTTGCTGACTATACCCCTTAGCAACCAATCATGCTTTGAACCTCTCAACTTCACCTGTGGATTTATACTTCACCTTGTAGATCCACCTACAACCTGTAGGTCTTTTGCCTTATTGCAAGTCAGTGACCTCCCAAGTGTTATTACTCTCTAGAGCATGAATTTTTTCCTTCATAGCATCTACCCACCTTATATCTTTAACAACTTCAGAAGTCAGGTTCCTTAACTATAGAGGTGGAAACAATGTAAGATTGGTATGCAGGAGAAAAATGATCATAGCTTATGGAGTTGCACATAGGATACGGAACATTCCTATTCATGGAAAGAGATACGCAGGGTCTGATAGTATCACAGGGTGAACATGCACTCCATCACCAGCGGATAATGCAAGATCATCTTGTTGATCCACAACAGTTTGAGAATGATCATCTGAACCAGCTAGATGAGAATGAGGAAATGAAATAGGATCCAAACTATGAGGTATGACATCTGAGACATGTAATGTATCTAAGAATACATTTTCTGAAACAGGATCTATCCCTTTGGTAAAAGGAAAGAAATCTTCTCTGAAGGCTAATCCGTACTAGTAAAAAAGGACCTATTACCCAAGTAAAGTAGGATGTAACCTTTCTGAACCTCTGAATATCCCATATGAACTGCAAGCCTGGACTTTGGCCTAAGTTTATCATGATCAGTCAATTGTTTAGCAAAGCACAAGCATCCTAGAGTTTTGAGATGAGTTAAAAGAGATTTACTACCATACAACCTTTCATAAGGTGTAGCATAATTCAACACACTAGTAGGCAACCTGTTAATAAGATGACGACCCCTTCCGATACTATGTTTGAAAACTTTATTTCCCCCTTGGCCTTAGATGAGGCAAAGGGTTTTTTTTGCAAAAGCTCTCGTTTCGTTCGAACGTAGCCCGCATGAGTCAAGGGGTTGTAGGGGCGACTTCTAGAGATAATAAGATAAGTAGCAACTAACACACATTGTCCCCAATACCTCAAAGGTATGCTGGCCTGGCCTGAAATCTGAGAGCTCTTGTCACCTCAAGTAAATGCCTGTGTTTTCTCTTAGAAACACCATTTTGCTAAGGGGTATAAGGACATGTTTTCTGGAGAATGCCCATCTCCTTGAACATAGCATCACCTACTGAGTTCACAAAATCAGTACCATTATCAAATATCAATATTTTGACTGATCTACCAAATTGAGTTTTAACAAACAAAATAAATTCCTTAAAAGAAACACACACACATCAGACTTATGTTTAAGCAAAAATAACCAAGTCATCCTGGAGAAGTCATAAAAAATAGTGAGAAAATACTTGTTACCATCAATAGTAGGGGTATTATAAGGACCCTACAGATCCAGATGTATCATATCAAAACAAGTTATAGTCTTAATATTGCAAACAAGAAAAACTAATCTTGTTTGCTTAGCAAGAGGACACGCTGGACATTTAGTCAATGTACATAAACTTCCTTTATTCATAGCAAACATCCTTGCAAGGACTGCTGAAGACACATGCCCCAACCTTCTATGCCACAATTCCATGTCTATGTCCTTTGCGTTGTTGACAACAAATGTAGCCTCCCCTTCACTATGTGAATTCTTATTTGTTAAGTGTTGCATTAGTAGGTACAAGCCTCCTTCTACCTTACCAACTTCCTTCACCTTCCCACTGCAAAGATCCTGGAAAACACAATAATTAGGGAAAAAAGGTGACTGAGCATCCTAATTCCTTTGTGATTTGATTGACTAGCAACAAATTGTACTTGAACTCAGGAAGATGCAATGCATTAGTGATCACACTTCTTGCTGATAAAGCACAATAACCAACATGTAAGACTTGTGTAGTGCTACCATTTGGAAGATAAACAGGTTTAGACTCTAAAAGTTGTGACACTGACCCCTTAACCATCATGTCTAAATTGGAGACCATATGATTAGTTGCACCTGTATCAATAATCCACACCTTATTGGCTTCAAAAACAAAAGAGGTTTTACTTGTATTAGCAGTATTATACACAGAGGCAGAAGAGACATCTGACTTCTATTGTATCATCATCAGAATATGATCATACTGATCTTTAGTAAAAGTGCATCCTTGAAGTAGTTGTTGAATCTCTTTCTAAGCTTGACTAACTTTGGGATTGGCACTAGGAGCTGCAGTTGTACCTCCACTATTAACACCGTAGTGCTGCTGATTAGGTATTATTCCCCATCCTGGAGAAGGAATGTGGGTGTTGAGACCATAGGTAAAATTAGCATGAGGAGCTGGTGCATATTAGGTAGACTAACTGCTAGCTTGTGTGACAGGACCTCCTTGAGCCTTCCTCTTTGACTTGAAATCAGGAGGATAACCAACAACCTTATAACAAAACTCTTTGTTATTCCCTTTGCATTTGCAAAAATCAAACACCAACAAGGAATTTTTTTTAAACCTCTGACTCACACCTGAGCTACTACAACCTGAACTACTACCAGCCTTGGAGTACGTAGCAACAGAAGAGTCCAAGCCAATAGTAGTCATGATCATGCTAGTGGTACAAAAACAACAACCTTTTGGCTTTCATCCCCAACTATCAAGCATAAGCATGGTTAATTGATGGTAATGGATCCATCATAAGGATCTGACTCCTAGCCTGATGATAGAATTTATTTAATCCCATCAAAAACTGGTATACCTTTTTTTATTCATGTGAGCTACAAACCCCTTGGATATACCACAGTTGCAACAAGGAGCAGGTACCAATGCCTCAAACTCATCCCATAAACTTTTGAGTCTGGTATAATACTCGGAAATAGAAGCAGTTCCCTATTGCAAAAAAGCAATATCTTTGTGTAGACTAAAGGTCCTAGATCTGTCAACTCTATCAAACCTCTCTTTTAGATCAGTCCAAACACTTAGGGCAGTAGAAGCAAAGGCAATTCCACTAAGTAAGCTCTTAGACACAGAGTTCATTAATATCCCATGTTAAATTAGGTCTTAAATCTAACTCACACTCCAAAAGCTAGCTCAAAGAGAGGAGAATTGTCCAAGCCTTATAAGGAGTCCACCTATCTCATTAACTACTAATGTGAGACTTTTTGCTTTAACACCCCACCTCATTCCTAGTGCTTAACATCTGGTGCGTGGACAATTTTTGACCCACCTCACGCCTAGTGCTTAGCATCTGGTGCATGGGTATTTTGGGTAATTTTTGGCCAACATGTATTCATCCAAGTAGGATAAGGAAGTGTTGCCTACTACTTTTTTCCTTATTTATAGTGGAACTAATACCCCTCCGATATAATATATATTTCTACTAAATAGAAACATGAAAAAGCAGGACGACCACAGCTATATTTGTTGTACCTTACGCAACAATGATTAGACAAATATGTACTCTCCGTAATTTTAACCAAAAGTGAGGGTATTTATGTCTTTTAAATATGTTCTTTCTTCTGATCTGCTTCTCGATCATCTCCTTGCCCTTCGTTTTCCAGATCAAACGAGGAGTTTCTCAAATAGTACATCATGTTTTAAAACACCCGCTCCGAGTTTATCAATAAAAAATTCATCCTTTGATAGAGGTTTTCCACACTGTTAACCGATAATTCTTCCGATACAGTTATCTAAATTTCAATTTCATCCTCGAAATGTCATACCAAATCAAATCTGCAGCTTTCGTTCTCTGAGCCTTAAGTCCTCAAATTGAATGGAGTAACTAAAAATGAGCCTGCATACTCATTATTTGAGATACTCAAGGTCCATTTATGTTGAAGTGAAGAAATTGTGGATTTGTTAGACTATAACTAAGGTACGCTCGCATGCATGATGATGCCCATAATTTTTTTCCGTTTGCAATGGTAATTAAATTCCATTGTTCCGTTGTGGATTTGTTATATGTTGAATTGAAGAAATTGCGGATTTGTTATACTGCAAGTAGCCGTTTTAACCTGCAAAGTTGTCCTTTTTCGCTTTCATGTTCTTAATTGATTTTAAGATGCCCTCTTCTTCTTTTTTCCTATTTTTTTAAGCTACAACTAACGGGAGTTATGCCTTAACTTACCGATCCTAACCAAATTTTTAAGATACCTCAAATTAAGGGAGTTAATAAAAATTCAATCTTGTAAGTCCTACTATTTTTATGTTAAAAGAAATGTAGGTTGTTATCTCACATGTATATAATATTATTAGGCTATCAAATTAATAAACAAGAATTTTATTTGGCACCTCCCTTGAAAAACATGCTATATTGATGATTTTGTATGTTTCTTCCTGTGGATACTATTGAAAAGGTGTATGGCAGATGCATGACGCTACGATTCATAAGAAAATCTTCTTGCATTGGCAATTGTTATAATTTTTTTCTTACTACTTATATTCTTTATTCATATGGATTAGTGAAGGTGGGAAACAACATTACGTACACTTACCCTCTCCAGACCCCACTTTGTGCCACTATACATGGTATGTTGTTGTTTTAATAGTGTTGATGGGATTTTTTTTGGAAGAAGCAAGGTCTGTCAAGTTTTCGTTTTAAGTCATATTAGTTTGTTCTGTATTCTAGAATATTAAGACTAAACTATCTTACTTTCTTTTGCGATCTTGAGGTCAATTACCTAAGCATATGTGAAGTAAGATCAAACACATCATAATCAATCACACAAGATTGCGTTCAATAAAGATATAGTTTCTCTATGATTGTAGTGTCTGGGCCACTTGTGTGCACCTCAAACTAATTTCATGAAATACTTGTTATATCCCTTCAACACAAGTTACCAAGTTACTCTTATAATTATCAAGATTTAAATTGTTTTCTCGATAACCAAATAAGCTCTCCATATGATTAGTTTATTTTTAAAATAATGATCTCTATGTGAAATTTATTGATAAAAATGTCTCATTGAGGTCTAAACCACAAGAAGTTTATGTGAGCAGTAGGCATGTATTTGTGAATTTGATGTTTTTCAAAGTGACAATAAAGTAAAACACTTTTTATTGAAGAGAAGAAGGGCAAAGGCCCTTACAGGAATGAATTAGAGACATTTACAAAATTAATATTTCGAATGATATGGTTATGACTCAAGTAGAAGGTTGGCTGGTGGATCTTTGATCTCTGCCTTATTCATGGCGAATTGAGAATGAAAGGATCATGTTATCGTTAATGGCCTGATACATATTCAGAGTAAACATAAAAATTTCTTAATAACTTGAATCCACAGCCTTTTTGTTATTTATTTTGGTAAGTTGATCGAGAGGGAAGGTACTTGAAGGCTAATATTTGTAATTTCTATGTTCTACCTATTGGTTTAGAATTGTATCTATGTGTCACAAAATCACTGACTGATATAAGAACATGATAAAAAGAGGATAATAACAAAGAGGATAAAACTTGCCTCTAAATTGAAAAATGAAAGAAACGCGTAGAAGTTGATAAAAATTGACCATATTAATATTGAAGGAAGCTTGAGATCTTGACATCTAACCTTACCGAGGAAAACTAATCACATGTATGGGATTTACTCGAATTATTTTAGATTTGTAAGAAAATATGCTTTTCTTAATTCCTATAGTTGCTTGTGTAGCATTGTTATTTGCAGGAAATACCTAGAATCTGTAGTAAATGAATTATGTTTCTATTTCAGAAAAAGTATTCTTTCAAGTTTCAATTATTTGGTGATGGTTTTAGTCCTATATAGTCCTGTTGGACTGTTTTAGTTTCAAAAAAGTTTGAAAATGCTTTCATAGCAATTGTTTTTTATCTTTGTGTTGTTTACTCTGTACTTTAAACTCAAAAGAAATACAAAGTTCTTCCAGTAGTCTGCAAGATACATTAGGGCAGAAATCTTTTGCTTTCAACCTAAGTTGCTTAGATTTGGGTGAGGGTGTTCGATACCGATGTGAATTTAGAGGTCGGATTCATCATGATTCTTATTTCATGATATGAGGGTACATATCCAAGTACTGATACTTAGACTATGATCTGGGGTAGAAATGTGGTGGTTGAAATAACTTTCTTCTATTTGAATAAATCAAATACTAGGTAAACTATATAAGCTTCTATTTATTTCAACATGACATTTTTTCTATATACATTCTCACAAACGTAGTAATTTCCTGTCTTGATGACGTTATCTGACAGGTCCTGATGTTTTCGTGAAGACCACGAATAAAGGAGACTGATAATGACTAGCGGGGCTATCCCTTGAAGTAAATACATTACATGGTAGTACCAAGCAAGCAATTGGTATGTAATAGACACATCCTCTTTCTGTTGTTTTGTGTAATAAGTTTTTATTAACTATGCCTCTGAAATTGAAGATAAGATTTTGAACATGAATTTGGTATTCCACATTCTAATTTTGTGGTGCTGGTGGTTTTGGATTAGCTTGTTATTACTCTATGTGGATGAATTTATCTCATAAACATACTAATAATCTTGAGTTTATACTGCCTGATTTTCAAGAAGTTGGAAAATTTCATGTTATACAATTGTCACTTAGTCTTGTTATAGCTGATGGGAATAATACTTATTCAGTTTTTCAGATGAAAAATCTTTCACTTTGAAAAAACTGAGATGGGGTTCTGAATAATACAGTTGAGGAGTTTGAAAATAATGGATTGATGTATTTTAGAAGGAAGTTATGTATACCTGTTTGGGCAATAGGACCAATACTTTTTCAAGAAAATGATACTCCTAGGAAAGAACCAGGAATTCCTTTAGTAAAATGTCTACCAAAGATTCGTTGCAGTGTAGAGATAGTAAGAAAATGTCAACTTGTCTATTATGCCTACAATTACAAGAAAGTAGACGAACGAGGTTTCAAGGTTAGTGTTTTACCTCCGTTAAGCTTTTTATGTTTACTTTGAATATATAATATGTGCTAGAGTATATATATATGCTTTAAGGATAATAACTATTGATAAGAGAAGGCTTAAGCTAAAGAAATATCTTGCATCTTGTAGCAAAATGACACAGTTTCATAGTTTTGAGTTTTGACTATATGTCGGAGAGGAAAGAGCTGTAAGAAAGAACTAGAAAAGCTAAAGTGAAAACAAGTCATTCAGAAGCTCTCACTTCGGTCATGGAGGTACTCTTATTTTGAAAAGCTTCTTGAACTTTTAGTAATTTTGAAAATTTTCAGTACATTTTTGTTATTTTTCAAAATATTATTACACTTCTGCGCATATGTCTTAAAGTACATGTGTTTTATTGTAGTACAAATGAAAATTTGAAGCAGTAATTCTGTTTTTCATCTGGCAATGAATTTGTAAACTCCTCTATGAGGACGTCACTTTGTAGTATGGGCTGAGCTAAGCAAATAACAAATCGAATTACCACTGAAATCTATGAGCCATTTCAAAAAATGAATGTCATCTTATGACAGCTGAGTATGAATTTATAATCGAGCTTATATCACTTTTTGATTTGCAGCTCACTCTCTTGCAATTTCTCATCTAGCTCCCTCTACTTGATCTCAAATTCTACTAGGGAGTATCTTCAATTGAGCATAAGATAAATTCTAATGACGTATTTATTGTGGCATTTATACTTCGAAAACTTTTATGTAATTGTAAAAATAGTTTAACAATATTATCATACCTTATCCCTTTTTATTGTACAACTACAATATTTGTTATGATAATCAAACTACAAAAAAGAAGTCGTAATCGTTCTTTCAGAATGATACACGTTGGGCCCGTATATATATATATGCTAAGTTCTTCTTTATGGCTAGACCATCGAAGTGTAAAGAAACCAATTTCACAATCTGATTTGGAAGTATTTCATCTAAGAAAAACAAAAATTCTACCTTGTAGATGAAGACATAAGATCTACTCCATTGAACCTGGGAAACTCTATTTTGGAAAACCTTGACATGGAGTTGAAGAAGTGCCCATGGACAGGAGGTCTTCATCCAGGGATTCCCACTAGTGGTTGGCCTTGGGACCGTCCATATGGCATCTGAGTTGTGGCTCCAGTGTGAATCTGAAAGGGAGTGATCCCATGTGTCCGGTAGATACACCTCCCATAATAGGAGTATGATGCATAGATCCCCCTCAGGGGTAACTGGAACTGAGGCAAAGCCCCCATTCCAGTTGATTACCACCAGGGGTAACCATAGTTGGATCTCCTTCTATCTGAGATGCAGAGACCCAAGCCATGGGTTGGCTAGAATGGCTTGGCTAGAAGGAGTGTAGATCTCACCAGTTCGCTCTGTATCTTCATGGTTCTTCCCTTTCTCATTTTCTTTACAACATCCAAGGACTCCTTCAGCTTAGCAAAAGACTTCTCATATTGTTCCTCTATTTGGTTCTGTCTGACAGAAAAGTTGGCTAACTGCATTATCATTCTGTCAATCATGTCTTTGATGTCCCCAACTTCATTCCCTTTTTTTGTGTATCCACAAAGCTCAAGAAAGTGCTATACCAAATGATGCAACTAAGCTAAGGAAAGCAATAAAATAGTAAAGAAAACTAAGAAAAAAAAATGAAAAGGAAAGAGTGAAGGACAAGTTTTTCTCTATTTAGCTAAACAATTCTCTGCATAGTTGCAAAAAGGACCATTACAGTGCTTAAATAGCCAAGAAGTTCATTGGTGATCGTATAAAACTTAATTGCCCAGCATTGGATCTAAAGTGTCCAATCACTCAAAAATTTCGGGTAAATTGACAATAACAAAAAATGACTTTTAAAACCTATTATAGATTAAACTGACAATATGAAACTATTCTTTTCAAATAAAATCCTAACCAACTTAATGGCTAGGTGCAACCCCTCAAGCACTCAGTACTAGCTTCCCAAGCTTCCGACTTCATTCTTGCATCAGGTGCACTTCCCAAAATAGTAAATTAAATTAGTGATGCTTGACATTATTTTCAGTGATACAATGCTCCTTCAATCAATGTGTGTATTTGAAATTGTCAAAGAGATAAAGTCAACAACGAACCAAGGGTTTATCTGCTCTAAACCCTTGTATCAATGGCAGATAAGAGGCCGTATCTGCTAAAAGAAAATGAAGTATTCCAATGGAATATTTCCATTAAGTAAATTCCCTGTATTTAAAACATCAATTTCGATCTCCGTTAAGCGTTTTTCACTATGCGATTTGTAGGTATTTTGAACAATCAAAGGAGATTTCAATGGAGAAGAGTGTTTTAATTTTGAACAAAATCTCTTTGGAAGTATGATTCGCATTGATTTGTAACATATTTTTTCTATTTCAATTGGGAAAGGACCTTTGTATCGCGCTTATCAGTTATGCAGATATACAATATTCAGGAACACACTTATTTAGGCACGTGAAATGTCGCTATATACAAGATTCTCTTGAACACAACAACATTATTCACACGGGATAATTTACTAAATTACTCTCAGCTCTTTCTTAATTGAGTATTCAATGATTATATGTCTTGTTGGAGAAGGGAGAAATCATAAAAAGAATGATTAAACGTCTTTCTCAAAAAAAAAAAAAGAGGGACAAATATTTTGAACCAAATCGTTTAGATAAATGTTAGGACAAGACCACAATTGTTATAATTCCGATGCACGATCAAGCCAAGTGAAACAGTTACCACATCTCATAATGATCAAACGTTGACAAATAAAGCATAAGATATTCCTATCGTTGGCACATTTGCATAACTTGAGGCTGAGGAACTTAACGAAAGCAAGTAGAATGGTGCACATTATTAGAGGAACATATGCGGTAAATGGTAATATTCAGAGGAACATATGAGAAACATTACTTTTAGCTTTCCTTCTTTTTGTCAAAGAGCAAATTGATGGAGTATGTGTTGCCTTTCTGTGCACCAACTTCCACACGTTTTTCACCAATCTGTACAAGAATATATTGTTTAGAGGCTAATGAGATAGATATATCCACATCTTGGCATAATCTACTAAAAATTTAATACTTGTGAGTTATTTTATGCACTAGATCAAATCATGCAATAAGAAATTGTAGGCAACTCTAGATAAGAAGCATATTAAGTGCTCTGCTGTAGCAGACCAAAGTACATTGGCAGTGCAAAAGTTCTTTCAGTATCATTGCATATAAACTTAATTCCTCACCAGCTGGAACAATGTAAATCTTTAAATTTGTAAGTATATATAACTTTAAGTTTATAGTCCATTAGTCTCGAAACAGTTGCGAATTAGAAAGAACCAAAGTTTTGCAGAATAACTATACAATACCTTGTCCATAAGCCAATAGCCAACCGATGGCATATACTGCATCAAGTACATAACAGCAAGTACAGGCTGCATCAGTAGCAAAAATATTAGTGCTACGAGTAGCCATTTGCATGAGTGCAAGAGAAATTATTATGAAAGAAAAAAGAGTACAGAACGGATTATGAAAGTTTTAATATAGAGTATCGGAAGTAGGAGTCCTACTTATGTGAATTGGATGGGACAATCAACATTCGAGCAGTTTGTGGTTCTTACATATTCCATATTATATAGCTAAAAGACATTGGACACTGTAACAGGACAGACCTTCGACTAAACTAAATAAAGAGCTGATGTTGGTGTAGTACGTTCACTTGAAAATGATCACAAGTATATTAAAACACAATAGGACATAAAGAAAATTAATAGAAGCTATCTGTAATACCCCTACCCCGAGCATGCTATAAATATTAACTAGTATCGTGTGAGGTCTAAAAATAAGAGTTTAAGTAGCACGAGAAAAATAGTTTCTCACTAGGAACATTCCCATCATATCAAAACATATAATATCATCATGGACATCTTATTACTTTCTCATTAATTAGTGAAAGGTAATAGGGTACAAGGGTTAACCTTATAATGTATATATATATATTTTTTTATTTTTTTTTGATGACAAAGGAAACCCGAAGCCGCTACCCTTTGGGTGTGCACCGGATAAAACCCCCGCTCCTATGCAATAGCTCGCAAACCACATAAGAGAGGTAACCTGCACTAGGCAAGCCCGGTGCGACGAGCTCGACCCAGAAGGCAAACCCCTTGCTTTCGCTGGCAAGGGGTTTCGAACTTGAGACCTCCAACATGGAAGTCCCAAGGGCCCACCACTGGGCCACTCCGAATGGTCCTTATAATGCATACATTGTTTATATATATATATTAAGGGATATCTTTTGCCTATGTATGATCCAAAATAATTTACAAGACTAACCGCCACTAATAATAGCAAAATACAAAACTATATAGGGTTTTGCTAACCTACGACATAATGGTAGTAGGATAGCAATATCCCACTTCTTGATTCTCCAAAATATCCTTATTGTTTTCATCCAATACATTAAGGAAAATTTTTAACATGGGTGAGGCACAACCAACAAAAGGTGTGTGAGGCTCACCCATGTTTGACAAGTGGCGTTGTGGTCCCACAAATAATTTTACTTTTCAACCAACGTTAATTTTTTGTGATGCTTAAATTATCATGAAAAATAAAATCAATTTAATTTTTTATGATTTTAAATTATCTTTAGTACTAATAAAGTAGAATGATAAAAGAGGCAAAACATAATTTTTTTTAATAGTTTGTCACACAAATTTTGTTGGTTGTGCCTCACCCATGGTAAAATATTTGTACATTAAGTATATGGACTCTTTATTATTTACCATGTTAAGGATCCATTGGCTCCCATTTGGAATTCACATGGGAATGTTTACTAGGTAGAGACATGCATGAATCACTTAATAAGTAAATAAATAAACCTAGAATGTTAATTGACTTGGCTACTAAGTAATAAGATTCTTATAATTACACTAGATATAGGACCCCGTGCCAGCACGGGGGCCCAATATATATATTTTTTAATTTTAATTTATGTTATATTGTGAAATTTGAGAAGTTATTGAAAAATTTTATATGTATTTTAAAAATATTTTAAATTGTTATCTATTGTGATTTGTAGTACTTTTTTTTACATAATTTTGTAAAATAATATTTATTACTCTGTTTGTTGTAATTTATGTGGCACACGTAGAATTTCAAAATATTAACCATTTTTTAATATGTCTTTTAATATATTAAGTTGTAATTATTGTATTTTATAGTACATTTTGAACCTAATTTTTAATAATATATGTTTTTGCCATTTCCCAATTTATGTGGCATTAATTGATAGATTTGTTGGAGTCGAAAGATTTATTTTGTTAATTATTGTAATTTATAGTTTCTTTTTCGTCAATTTCAAACAATATATGTTGTTAATTGATAGAATACTTTTAATGTAATTTTTTTAAAAAAAATGTGTGACTCTCCATGTCCCAATTTATGTGGTACATGTAAAGTTTTGACAATTAACCAAAATTTTAATACATTTAAAAAAATATTTTTAAGTCGTTTAATTTTAAGTAATTTAAATTGTTGTATTACTTATTACAATTTATAATACTTTTAAAGTAGTTGAATTATTGTACTATTTATTATGATTTATAAGACTTTTTTTTAAAATTTATGTCATATTATGGAATTTGAGAAGTTATTGAAATTTTTATATGATTTTAAAAATATTTTAAATTGTTAGCTATTGTGATTTGTAGTACTTTTTTTTAACATAATTTTGAAAAAAATATTTATTACTCTGTTTGTTCTAATTTATGTAGCACACGCAGAATTTTAAATATTAAGCATTTTTTATATGTCTCTTTAATATATTAAGTTGTTAATTATTGTATT